TCATGCTGATTTTAATAATGCCCTTAGAGAAATGGGAAGGATAGAGGACTTTGGTGTCAGTGAATCCACATAACTCGCCAGAATGGCAGACTTGGGAATTAAGATCGGCATAGCAAAAAACGAGACGCACACCAGACACGCCAGAAGACTTGTATAATCAACATAAAACTGGTACTATTAGCCATCGGACGTTGGGGTTCATACTGAGGGAAGGATCTGAGCACCTATGGACATGTCCGGAGTGCAATGATGATAACCCAAACTAACTAACTAACTAACTAACTAACTAACTAACTAACTAACTAACTAACTAACTAACTAACTAACTAACTAACTAACTAACTAACTAACTAACTAACTAACTAACTAACTAACTAACTAACTAACTAACTAACTAACTAACTAACTAACTAACTAACTAACTAACTAATTAACTAACTAACTAACTAACTAACTAACTAACTAACTAACTAACTAACTAACTAACTAACTAACTAACTAACTAACTAACTAACTAACTAACTAACTAACTAACTAACTAACTAACTAACTAACTAACTAACTAACATTAGTTCACCACCAAGTGGAAACTTCGCGTACTTTAAAAGTATATGTGACAGTCTTTGTTATATTTTAATTTAGAGAGTTGATAAATTTCTCTGTAAAAGTTAAATCTGTGGCTGTCCCCTATGTCCTTTCTTGTTATCATCACCAAGTGTCTTGGCACCTGGAGTGGGCGGTCATGCTACTGCTTATCTTGTGATCTCCGACACCATGTTGCCATACTTAGTGGTCTGACACCCACCCAAGTCACCCCTAAATGCTGTCAAGAATCTTATCCCACTATCTCAGTCTCTCTTTTCATAAACCTTTCTAGTTGTCACAGAATGTTTCAGCTGGATTATTACTGCCTCTTACTGATGTTTGAGGAAAATGGTCCTTAGGTCTTAGCCTATTTCAGAACATCCAGATCCATCACTGTTTTCAGAACATTTAGATAATAACTGCTTTAAGAACATCTAGATTGATCACTGTTTTCAGAACATCTAAATTGGTCACTGTTTTCAGAACACCTATATCGATCATTGTTTTTACAACATCTAGATAGATCATTGTTCTCAGAATATCTAGATTGATCCTGTAGTTGTCAAACTGCTAGCCCTTTCATGGTTTATTTACCATCCACCATGTCCCCTTTATAAGGCAAACACAATGTATTTATTTATTTATAAACGCGCATTTCTGATTCATCCTGTACGTTAGCAAAAAACAGACTAGACTAAGGGGCTGGAACTTATTTCCCCCATACATCACCATCTCCCCTCTCCCACCCCCGCCGGGCTATCCCTAAATATCAATTTACCACTCTGAGAATACAGAATATAATATGGATGGAGAGCGAACAGAACAAATCCGAGAGACTGATTTAACTTCACAGGAAATTTTAACTGGAACACCAGTTCTCCAGCCTTATGTAGGTGAGATTTTTTTTTAATATCCAGAAACCATGAGTTATTAACCCTTTAGCTCGCTATTATGGATATCGCAACCCTTCGGCCTTGATTCCATGACAGGTACCGTAAATCTGGGAGAAATGCGGCTTTTTTGCCTACCCCCGGGAGTGAACCCGGACCACAAGGAGATCGTCATCCGGTCACCACGATGTCAGGTTTAACCAACGAGCTAGCCAGCCGGGCACGTAGGTGAGATCAGAGTATCAGTAACATCCTGGCAAAACTTATATAAAAATGAGGTAGTAGCCAGGCAACGACACAATTCTTTTTAAAGGGCCACGGAATCAATATAACGAAAAACTGGAAAACAGGTGGTACAATTTTGCAAGAGCTGAACGAAAAACATTTTAGTTACAACATTACAAAACATGTTCAAAATATACACTAGAAGAAAAAATTGAACAGAAAAAATTCAATAAACTTGACTTCACAGTTGACACACATTAAAACAAATCTACTTGGCTGCAACGGAAATTAAGTAAAAGGGCAATTTTTACAGCCACAGTCTAGTGGTCTCAGTAGGTACATTTAAAAAATATTATTTACATAATATATAATTACAATAAATCATTAACAGGGAGCTATTGTGGACAGGTCATCAGTATGTCTTTTGTAATGGTTCTTTATAGAGCGGTTGGACGACCGGTTAAGAACTCTAGGCTTTCAATCGGAAGTCGCAGGTTCGACTAATATATAAAACTGAGGATTTTGTTTTTCTGTCATGAGCAAAAATAAAATTCCAAACTGCACAGTCCGTAGCGACAGAACTAGCTATGCGGCCTTAAATCCTCAGGCTCAAGGTTTCCACTGCCAGCACCGCAAAAGAGGTACATACAAATAGTAATGACAGCTAGCAGTTAATGGTTCTGTGTAAAAGAGATTGTAAAGGGAACTGTTGCGGCAACCTGTAACTCCGCGGACAGCAGACCGGTCTCAAAAATTTATGAACGGAACGTGACCTAGTTTGCGTGGGTAGATCATTGTGGAACTGACCGGGATCCTCTTCTCAGTAAATCCTACAGCATAAAATGGCTGACGACACACGGTTTGTATATTCTCATTTGGCTTCCTGCACAGAGTTGTTGCAATCCATTCTTGCCTGATGAATTCAACCTGGATCTTCTTAAGTATATTCATTAAGTTACTAAGCATGCACACGTTTGTTAACTCCTTAAGTACCAAGACATGCTTATGCCCTTGTGACAGCCACAGTTTCCATTGTGAGGCTAATCATTGATTCCCATTTAATCGTCAACGGTGTTGGCACAGTTTTTTAACACCACAAATTACGGTCGTCAAAGCCTTTACTAATCTATAGTATTTATTAGACCAGGCACTTCATGCACTCACAGACTTCCCAGATGCTTAAGCACACTTAATCAAACAAAAATTATTTAGTGTAAATATTCAAAGAATATTTATGAGTTCCTTAAGTTCATCGGGAGGCGCACCCCCACCCCCCCCCCCACCGTTCCCAACTTTTTTTTCGTCAAATGTTTTTCTATATTTGCCAATATAATAATCAGCTTTTAATTGCAGAGTCAATAACACGCTTCCTGCTTTTACTTCCGTGAACATTTCCTGGTTTACGTTTTCGGCTTGGTTAGCCTTGGGGCCGATGCTGGTTTCCAAAAATACTTTGTAGATTTTGGGGTCCCGCTGGGAAAAGAGAGAGAGAGAAAAAAAAAGAAGAGGTTTGGGGGTTTGGGAAAAGACCAAATGCCCTCTAAAACCATGTCATTAAAGTCGACTAACTAGGAGTGTTTCCTTCGAAGTCGAAGTGCATCTGCCTAACAGGCGAGGAACCAACACTCTGCACACAAATCAGTCAGATCTGTACAAAACGGATGGGCACGGAATAAGACCTTATCCAGAACTTTCCTGGAGGAGTTAACAACTAGTAAACAAGAAGAAGAATGTGGAGGGGAAAGGGGGAAGAAGGGGGGGGGGGGGGGGGGTTTCCACACTACAGCGCAGCTGTAGCTTTGATATCGCAGCTCATAGTGCTATCAGAAAATGCTCAATAGTACCAGCTAGATAAATTAAGTACATATGTGCCCAACAGTGTACATGCATGAATGTATACATATTCTGAGACGTATAAACATATACAGACAGTGGATGCACAATTATACTGCACACGCGCGTATAATATAAGCACACGCAGTATCAAACAAATTTTTTTTCATAGACAGATAGTTAGCACGTTCATAATACGTACATACAGTTTTTATATGCACGAATGTGTACAGATTCTGAGACACATAAATATATACAGACAGTGGATGCTCAATTATACCGCAAACGCACGTATTATATAATCACACACAATATCAAAAAATATGTTTCCATAGGTTCATAATACGTACATACAGTTCATATGCACACACACAATCATTATATATATATATATATATATATATATATATATATATATATATATATATATATATAAATGAGTGGGCTCTCCTCCAAACTTCGTCCCCATATTATGGCGGCTAAACAAATACCCTAAAGGGCCTCAGTCGTGTGTAAAATGCGGAGTGCCTGCCGAGGGACAAATCGCGGGAAAACTAGGATTTACTCTGTATAACGAGCCAATATTATCAAGGGCAAACAAATGCTCGACAGTATTTCCCGCGGCGCTATACACGGATGAGTGCTAAACTAGATGGCTGAGACTTACAAGCAAATAAATTGCAGGAAGTTGCGGGAGATGCGGTAGCTGATGCATGTGAGTCCCAGCCATCTAGTTTAGCTCCCCATTCCTGCCACGGTCAGCAGTTTAATCGGAAAAACACTATCGCTAACCTGCGTCGGAGCGCGTGGTCTCCTCGCCATTTCGCTATCATCGTGTGTATTGTTGCGTTTCTCGAAATCGTCAACGGACAGTAATTAATAGTTTTACCGCGATATGTTTGTCGGAGGAAGTCCGCATTTTACACACGACTGAGGCCCTGTTAGGGTATTTGTTTGGCCGCCATAATATGGGAACGAAGTTCGGAGGAGAGCCAATGAGTGTACATACAAGTGGAAACACAGTACATAATGTACAAGCTCTCTGAGAGGCAGTAAAACTGCACACATTTATATTTAAATAAAGCATGAGTAGAAATATATGAACCTAAAATGCTATCAGCTGGTCATAGATTCTGAGGTACTTAACTGACTCTGAAGGTCGGCTTTTTATTTCAGTACAGTACTTGTCCACCACTGAACAAATGTAAAATTACACATGACGTAGCTTGGCCAAAATCGCCAATGCCATAGATGTTCGTAACGCTTGGACGCAACAGGGACTAGCGAATTTATAATACTGCAGCATCAGTGATTGTTTTGTGCTTGTTTTCCTATTCATAAACGCTAACTACTTGCACATTGGTGTTTTTTTAGTTCTCAAACACTCGCTAATATGCAGGTAATAGTTGTCCCGTTCTTAAACGTTGGCTATTTGCACGTTGTTGTTGTCCCGTTTTCAAACGCTGGCTATTTGCACGTAGTCACATCTATTATCCTCTCACAAGTTTTACACTTTACGAAACAGCACCAATGAAATTTGCAGTTACACCTCTCAACCAATTTTTGCTTGAACGTGTTGTAACCACGACCGCAACACATCAAGTTACATCCGTCCATACCTTGAGAATTTCTGATGCACATCCGTCCAACTGTACCCAGCGACCCTGTCTCTTCGTTAGCCAGACAGTAGTTTGGCGATTCGTCTATATATATTAAGTCCTCTTTAGTAGGTTTGTTATAGCGTTTATTCTTTCTGACCAGTTTGATACCGCCCCTGTTGAATTTGATTTCTGTAGCTCCGTCGTAGCGGTCTCGCAGGCGGTCTCCTACGTCCCGGAAGACTGGAAGCTGTTGCCAACAAGTCTTCAGAGCACACGATCCAGAAACACCATGACACTTGCACTCCACCTTGGCGTAGTTGTACACTGCCTGTTGAGGATAGATAGAATGTATTTCACATTAGTGATTGTAGAACACAACATACAAAATGTATTTAGCACTAGCGATTGTAGAACACAACATACAAAATGTATTTAGCACTAGCGATTGTAGAACACAACATACAAAATGTTTTTAGCACTAGTGATTAAAGGACACAATATACAAAATGTATTTAGCACTAGCGATTGTAGGAAACAACATAAAAAATGTATTTAGCACTAGTGATTACAGGACACAACATACAAAATGTATTTAGCACTGGTGATTACAGGACACAACATACAAAATGTATTTAGCACTGGTGATTGTAGGACACAACATACAAAATGTATTTAGCACTAGTGATTACAGGACACAATATACAAAATGTATTTAGCACTAGCGATTGCAAAGCACAATATGCAAAATGTATTTAGCACTAGCGATTGTAGGAAACAACATACAAAATGTATTTCGCACTAGTGATTACAGGACACAACATTAAAAAATGTATTTAGCACTAGCGATTGTAGGAAACAACATACAAAATGTATTTAGCACTAGCGATTGTAGGACACAACATATAAAATGTATTTAGCACTAGTGATTACAGGACAAAACATACAAAATGTATTTAGCACTAGTGATTGTTGTATATTTTTCTTAACAAATGTATTTAACACTAGTGAATGTTAGATATTACACACAAAATATGTTTAGCACTAGTGATTGTAGGATATTACATAGAAAATATGTTTAGCAGTAGTGATTGTTGGATATTACATAACAAATGTATTTAACAAGAGTGAATTAACATGATATTACATACACAATGTATCTAGCCTAGTGATTGTAAGATATTATTTACAAAATGTACTTAGCTCTAGTAATTTTACAGTAGTACTTACAAAGTATATTTGAACCCAGTAATTGTGTGATATTATTAACAAGATGTATTTAGCACTAGTGTTTGTAAGACATGCATATGTAAGTAAATCAAGAAAGTAAAGAAAAGGACCCTCCTCGAAGCCTTCAGGAGTATTGGGCATATAGGGCTAGACCTATACTCTATAGACCAATCGGTACTTGGTAGATGATGTGGTCAGCATCGCACAGGCCGCCTTTAATTCCCAGCACTTTCATCTGGCACCCATTTAAGGCTGGGTTGATCTGTGAGCCAATGTCATAAAAAAAAAAAAAAACACCGACCGAATTTGAACCCACTAGTGCTCCACAGACGAGCGTCACTGTTTGTTTTAGTACCCAGAAGCCATGAGTTGTTAACCCTTAGGCTCGGTATTATGGATATCGCAACCTTCGGGCCTTGATTCCATGATAAATACCGTAAATCTGGGAGAAATGTGGCTTTTCTGCCTACCCTTGGGAGTGAACCCGGACCACAAGGAGTTCGTCACCCGGTCACCGCGCAGTCTGGTTTAGCTAACTACGCTAGAGAGCCGGGCGCAGTAACTAATAAAGCGAACATCTTTAAACGGTGACGTGTAACGGAAGTATAGATTTAACCCCGTATCTATCTTATTGGGCCTCTATGGTTGATGTGGTCAACCAAAGTATTTCATGATCCTCGCCGGTGCTAAAGAGCCTGTGCACTGTGCTTAACCTCTTTGGACTCAGATTTGAGTTAGAAGAAGAACGGAGCACTTATGGGTTACTACCCGTGTGCCATGATGTTGATCCGTTGTTCAAACTTCAAACTTCATATATAGACTGCAACGGTTTTATACTACTCATCCCTTATTGACACGCTGTTTTATCAACAAGAGCTTGTCCTGAATCATTACCAGCGTTTGCAATGTTGTTTGTTCTCTAGTCGAGTTTTTATTACGGCAGACAGACAGATAGACAGGTGAAGTTGATGTATTTTAAATGGCAATGGATAACAGCGTGCGAATGCTCAGCGTTCAAAAATCTAATCATTACACTCCACACACAACACGAAATATAAGATATGCCAGTGGTTGTTCAGTTGTCAATTAGCGTTTATGAAGGCCTGTCAAAAGTAAGACACACAAAAAAGCTTTGTACCGTGCCCACTGCACCCCATGTACCTTAATTAATTCTGGGAAGATGGTGTAAGTTTAGAAATGCAATTAAGCCCAGCCAAGGAGTGCAACCATTCTTCTTGCGCTACCACTGCGCCATAGTCTATAATCGGTAATCAAGGTGATGTGGTACAGTCTAGTGTTCAAGGTGACGGGATACAGTCTAGAGTTCAAGGTGATATGGTAAAGTCTAGTTTTCAGTGTGGGATGCTGTCTAGTGTTCAGTGTTAAATAGTACAGTCAAGTGTTAAAGGTGGTGTGGTACAGTTTAGTGTTTGAGGTGATGGGGTACAGTCTAGTGTTCAAGGTTATATGGTACAGTCTCGTGTTCAAGGTTATATGGTACAGTCTCGTGTTCAAGGTGATGGGTAAAGTTTAGTGTTCAAGATAGTGGGGTACATGTAGTGTTAAAGGTGATGTTGTACAGTCTAGTGTTCATTGTGATGTGGCACAATCTAGTGCAGCAAGTGGTTTGGTTCAGTCTAGTGTTTAATGTGATGTGGTACAGTCTAGTGCAGTAATTGATGTGTAACTGTCTAGTGAATGGGGTGATGCGGTACAGTCCAGTGCAGTAGGTGATGTGGTACAGTCCAGTGCAGTAGGTGATGTGGTACAGTCTAGCGGATGAAGTTTTGTGGCCCACTCGAATTTAAAAGGTTATGCGGTACAGTGTAGTGGACATGGCGATGTGGTTCACAATAGTGCACAAAGTAGTTAATCAGGTCTCTTGCACAAGACGGATCTATGGTAGAAATTAATGTGATACATTCCAGAGTATAAGGAGATACCATATACGAAGAGATGTAAATAAATTCTAGAGTGTAAGGAGATACCATACACTAAGGGATGTAATACAGTTACAAGTTAGTACACACAGTATAAAATACAAATACAGTATAGAATACTGACTGAAGGATAGAGATATAATCTAGTACGCTGAGTGATAGGATATAGGTATAGTCTAGTACACTAAGTGTTAGGATACATAAATAGTCTAGTACACTAAGCGACAGGATACTGATATAATCTAGTACAGTGAGTGATGGAATAAGAAATAGTCTACTATACAAAGTGATAGGAAACAGATACAGTCTAGTATACACTTAAGATACAGATTTAGTCTTGTACACTGCGTGATAGGATACAGATATAGTCTAGTACACACTTAAGATACAGATTTAGTCTTGTACACTACGTGATAGGATACAGATATAGTCTAGTACACACTTAAGATACAGATTTAGTCTTGTACACTACGTGATAGGAAACAGATATAGTCTAGTACACACTTAAGATACAGATTTAGTCTTGTACACTACGTGATAGGATACAGATATAGTCTAGTACACACTTAAGATACAGATTTAGTCTTGTACACTACGTGATAGGAAACAGATATAGTCTAGTACACACTTAAGATACAGATTTAGTCTTGTACACTACGTGATAGGAAACAGATATAGTCTAGTACACACTTAAGATACAGATTTAGTCTTGTACACTGCGTGATAGGATACAGATATAGACTAAAATGCTGAGTATAGAATACAGGTATAGTCTAGTAGAGTAAGTGATAGGCATTTTTTCTCTCTAAAAACCATAAGTTGTTTACCCCTTGGCTCGGTACTATGGATTTCACAACCCCTCGGCCTTGATTTCATGATAGTTACCATAAATCTGGGATAAATGTGACTTTCCTGCCTAACCCAAGACGTGAGCCCGGACCAGAAGGAGTTTGTCACCCGGTCGCCGCGCCGTCAGGTTTCACCAACTGAGCTAGCCAGCCGGTCAAGTGATAGGATACATATATAATCTAGTACACTTAGATTTGGTATACAAGTGCATTTTAGTGAATCAAATGATGGAATAAAATACAGTCTAGTATAAAACTGTTGGGATAGAGGCAGTCTATTACACTGAGATATGGGTTACACATACAGATACAGTTTAGTACACTAAATTATAGAACCAGATGCAGTTCTAGTATAATAAGTGATGGGATGCAGATAGCCTAGTATACTGAGTGAAGGGATACAACTGCGGATACCGTCTAGTACACTCTGTGATTGAATAGAAGCATGTATACAGTCTAATCCTTTGAGTGATGGGACACAAGCACGGATACAGTCCAGTAAACAAAATGGTAGAATACAAATGTGGATATGGTCTATCTATTACACTAAGTGACTAGGTACAATTGCGAATACAGTCTAGAACACTGAGTTATAAGGATACAATGTGAATACAGTCTGGTACACTGAAAGATAAGATACAATTATGGATACAGTCTAGTACACTGAGCGATAGGATACAATTGCGGATACAATCTAGCACACCAAGTGATTGAATACAAGCACGGATACAGTTTAGTGCACCAAGTTATTGGATAAAAGCATGGATACAATCCAGTACACTGAGTGAATACAGATACAGTATAGTACACTTCGTGACTGGATACAAAAATAGACACAATAATAACAAGTACAGACACAGTCTATTGTACCAACAGATGGGATACAAGTAGGATACAGTCTAGTCCACAACGTGATTGGATAAAAGTACCGATACAGTCTAATGCACCCAGTGATATGATATACGTATGGATGCAGTCTGGTATGCTGAGTGAGGGAATACACATACAGTCTAGTAACAGTCTAGTACACTGAGTGATGTTGCATACGCTCTAATAAACACGATGTCTCCTGCCACGGACAAAGTCAGTACCAAAAGAAACCGACAATGAAAGCGCCCACGATAATTATTAAATCACTACAGCAGGCGCAATGGGTGCGGTCATCAAAGCGAATGCAGTTCTGACCTTTAAGTTGCACGATTTCAAAGATATAAACCGGCTTCACCTTGGGCGTAAGGCCCTAGACACTGGGTACAGATAATCCTACTAGCAAGGTTAGGGAGTTCAGACACAAGGTAAATATTGAACCAAGA